ATTTTTTTGTAATTGATGGCTTTTGAATGGTGGCATAAACGGTGACTTTTGGTGAACTTGGTAATCCTCCCATTTCAAGGCCCGTTGTCAGCCCTTGTCTGGAACCAACATTCCACCGCTGCTGTGACGCGAGCTATGAATTTGGTGACCCTTCCCCCATTTCGAAGCCCTCTGTCAGCCTTTGCCAGCTGTTATCACTTCCTGCCACCCACCAATGATGTTCACTTCCAGCCCTCTATATCACATCTTGAAACCAACATTCCACCGTTGCTGTGACGCAAGCTATGAATTTGGTGACGCTCCCATTTTAAAGCGCCCTGTCAGTAATAGTGTTCCTGCCTGGTCTACATCACCTATCGATTTGAACTCTCTAGAAGTGATTTGAAGGAGTTATGTATTCCGGTCGAACACAGACAGACACACACACACCAACAGACAAACTTAGCGAATTATATATAGTAGGATAATCATAGCTTCTGACCCAAATACTGGTATCTAAGAAGAAGATAGGCAGTTGAGAACAGTCGAAAATGCCTTTCCAAAGCTTGTTCCAATTTTTTCTGTGGCTGTAGCTACCATCTGTAGTGGTCTTCTCCCCGTGATCCCATCAAAGAGGAAATTTGCTGTGCGACGAGGTTTACACTTGTCATAGCACTGCCATTTCTTCAAGATATCCTGTCATATCGCGGGTATTCGAATAAGTTTACACTGCGCTCAACATTTATATAAGCCCATAGATCACTGCGATAAACAGTGAACACCTCAGTTTCTTCGACTCGCACAAATGTTGCCCTAGACGCGCCGTTCTTGTTGGAGATTCATGAATAGTGAATGAGTTTGAGAACAATGCGCGGGCAGGGAGCAAGGACCTGAGCACATGCAGGTTTCAGTAATTTTTCGCCACCTTCAATCGAAATGATGGACTGATTCGCATCATCGTCTGCATGAGATCGGGTTGCAAAAGGACATCGGCAAAAAATCGCCCATGATTTCCGTCGAGTTTTCAAATTTTTGTTGGTATCTGCACTTTCCAGACCTTGATTAACAACTGTAAGACGGGAACAAGGCGGGCGAGCTCCCTTAATTCGCTAAGAAATGACTAAGCGAATGATATCAGGGAATAGTTCAATATTAGTGCTGTTCAGAGAGGACAACTGAATATCTCGCATGCTTATCGAATCCACTTCCATAGAACTTAGTATAAATAACAGATGCCTGTGGTGCCCGCAGCTTTCTCCAAGAATTTATCTGGGAAAGGATCGTCACAAAAGGGCAGAACTTTCCGCTAGTACCAAAGCTGAAGGTTCCCCGTTGTTTTCGTATGCCCTATCACTGTAAAGCCACCACCTAACTGTCGTGATGTCTCTGCTCTAACATCGCGTCCCTTTTAGACGTGACCAGTCCCATTATCAGTACAGCTAGCAAGTCCAATAAGTGATGGAGGTCTTTTCTGCCTACAAAGCGGCCGTCCAATTAGTCAGCGTTAGCTGAATTCCTGTCTAGTCGACGCTCGTTTCATGAACTTCCCTGAACGGTCTTTAGGCCATTTTTGTGAGAACAACGATTGGGGCTGCAGAACCTGTATAATCGCCATTCAATCGCACACACTTCTCTTGCAACACCTGCAATGCAGACTGGATCAGGTCGGGAACCACCGTACATATTTGCAGAACGATATTTTTAGAAATGCACTAATAATTTGCTTTTCTTTGCCATTCAGAACCAATTACGTTCACGCTGTAGTTTTCAAGTCAAACTTCGCGACAAGCAATGGTGCATGTGTTGTGCGAAGACTGTGGGCACGGTAAATCGACAAGTTGTATGGGCCGCGTATAGGGTGAACAGCAGGCAGGAGGAAATGTCAAGGCCCCTAGCAATGCAGCGTGGTGTCATTTTCAAGAAATTGGCCCTCTAGCCTCCAAAAGCGCAGTCCCATAAACAGCAGCTAAGGGCCAGCGACTGATCACGATCAAATCAGGTTTCTACCCACAACCTGCTACTGAGTGGTGTTTTCTACTCCTACAGAATGAGTCCTGAAGAATCCCTCCTAGGTGCATGATGGCAACGAAAATATCTCTCTACGCATATTGCAAGGTTCTGGTGCAAAAATTATTCGTTCTTTTTTTCCTTAGGTTCCAGGGTTTTTGATACATGGTGATACGTAGTTTGCGGATACTCGGCTTTCGAGTTCAAAGATAGTTCCAAATGAACTGTGTTTCTAATGAGGGCCTTTCCCGATAACGTCTCGACGTTCGACGTCACTTGAAATTTCGTTTTTTCCTGGTTACGTTGCAATCGGCGTAATTTCCCGCACGCTCCTATACTCCGTATCCCTGGGACGGGGTAGGCGTGGCATATGAACATGGCGGAGGACGGGTTACTCTTGGATATTTCATTCTCAGACAAAGATAGGACCACATGTGTCCCAAAATGAAAATGTGTCACCAGAAGCACAACCACCGCCACGTCATGTTGATGACGCAGCTAGGCCCACCGCATCCCAGGGATCTCGAGTGTACCTATGGTCAATCATAAGCATATACTCCTCCCCCCCCCCCTCTAAATTGATACGTTTGCAGGGATTACGACTACATGCACCATCAGCACTATCTAAAATGCACTTCTTATAAGAGTTGTTGTGGTTACTGCTAAAACTCGGGGCGGCATTTTTGCGGAAAAGGCGGTACTTCTGGTGAGGAGGCGGTACTTCTAATATGTAGGGTGCCGTTGAAGACACTCTAGAGATCCTTCACGGCGAACAACTTCATACATAGACCTCAGACAAGCGGTTTCCTTTCTGCAAGGCAAATCGACCCCATGATCGTAGTCTATTGATCGTGCTTTACGCTTTTCAAAATTATTGATTCAAGTGAATTTCTGACTTGTTACGGGTCTCTCTCGGTACTGAATACCTATGTTTTCCATGATAAATAGCCCTCACGAAAATGAACTACTGAAATTCTCGTCACTCCTCAGCTGTTCAATAATAAACGTACCATAGCTTCTCAGGAAACACATTGCAAAAATGAAAAAAAAATCAAATGTTGAGTATGTGTTTTTTACCGTTTCAGGTCATCCAGTCGCTTCTGTTCGGCCTCGATGTATCTGTCGATGACGGTGGTCACTTCCTTTTCTGCTCCCAACATTCGCTGCATGTCGGCGATTGCTGTGAAGAGATCGGCAGTGCAGCTGCCGAACAGCAGTAGCAGTAATACGAGACCCCGCATCTGAACAGCGAACTTTGCCGTAAGAAATTAGCTCACTTGAGACACGCTTAATTCGCTCCATTGAAATTAAAAGTTGACGACAGGTTCCAAAAGATAACTGTTCGGGAATGAAGCAGCATTGAAAGAGAGAGGTAAGAGTAAATAAAATTAAGAAGATTCCAAAAAAATTCAGCCTCAAATGGCGCCAGAACGAGAGTACCAGTTTTGGACCTGACCATGGGTTTTAGGATTATGCAACCTTAAGGGAGACTACGATCGCTAATAAGCCCCGTGCTAGCCCGTAAATGATGGCGCTTTTTCTCACATGAAATTTCGGGTGGCAGCTGAGAAGCTTTTCGAACATATTCTATGCTATTTAACAGAGAACTTCCACTCTACAAGGTAGTGGGCTTGGCTTTCTATTTTATCTTGTCAATATTTCGTTCATCATAATGGAGTGTGTTCCCGACAGAAATGAGAGTCTCTTGTCTCTAGTCTAATGTAAGCGCTCAAGTGGCATGATCAGTTCAAAACTTGTGAGGTTTATAGCAAAATCAGTTCAGAACCTTCGAGGTTCATGATCAAGGAACTATGCCTCTTACTGTTAGGAGGATTTCTTGATTTGAGCGTTTGAGGAAGGGCATTTGAACCATCTAAATGTGCATTCCAGGGCGCTTTTTGACAGCGACTGCCTGCAGAATCCATTTCCCAAGTTTTTAAAATCCCATCAAACGAAGGTGATGTTCAACGAGAATGTGAGAGCATTCCATGACACCTACAAGTTCTCCACACTTTAGCACACGCCTCAGTGAAACAGCTGTACTGAACTCCCTGTCCGACTCAACAGAACGTGAGGTGTGATGCTTGTCTGTTGTGAAGTTGAAATTGAAACCTTCAAGCAGTTCAAACTATTCTGTGCCTCCTCGAGAGACATCGCTTCTGGCCGTAACTCTAACAAATGGGCTTTTGCGATTGCGGCTTTCTAATTTAATGCAAGAAGGAGATGGTGCCAAAAAATGTCGTCGACTTCACACTTCACTCTAAGCACTTACTGGTCAATGAAAAATACTGGAAATAAACTCATCGAAAAAGTTAAGCGACCATTCTATAGGGCAATGAATTTTCTATCAAAATGTCTGAAACGCGGCGGCAAGTCACCTCATCTTTACCCAAAAATTTGAGTTAGAAATAAATGCCCTTACTTGTATGTAGGCCAATGCAACTCAAACAGCTGATGGTGAAAAAAATCGAATAGTAGAGGGTTTGGATTGTTACTGGCACTTCGGCTCTAATTGGTAGCCTACTTCGTTTTTCGAAACTGTTCAGCAATCCCTACGAGAAACCTTTGATAGTATACAGCTTTGGAAGCACTGTGAGGATCGGGATTGAACTGCATTACTGCGAGGACGAGTCGCCGACACCAGATGAGGTCAACGATAAGGATTCATGAGGGGCTTTAAAGCAACAAAACAAATGAGATGAAAAGGTGAGAATCAGAAGGGTGAAACGAATCGCTAACGAAATTAGCCACAGGACCTTCTAGGAAATACTACTACGAGGGCCGTTCAAAGTAATCCTCGGGATAGTTCAGCAGTGACGGAGGAATTCAAATCGTTTCAATAGGTAACGACACTCCGTGAGGGTATAAATACATAATTTCATTTAGATTATCATCAACGCTATTCTAGTTATCCTTGGTGAAAGAAGACCAGAATGAGTGATGCAATAATGTTGAGGAAATGATTTTGATGGAAAAATCGAGAAAAATGAAAAGAAAATTGAGAAAATGAAAAAAATTGAGGATAATGGATTAGCGATTACTCTCGCTCCCTCACCTAAAGAAAGATTTTCGTGGAAAGCGTCCTCTGACGAAGAACAGCTGAAGGCGGAAATTAACGCACATTTCGGACAAGGAGGAAAAATACTTCTTAGATGGTATTGAAAAATTAGTTTCCCGAGCAAACAAGTGTATTGAGGTTATGGGGAACCGCATTGAAAAATAAATATTTTTTTTCAGAGTTCTGCCTTTTCCTTCATACCTGTACCGAAAACACTTTGAACACCCCTCGTAACGGAGAAGTTCAAAGCTGGCGTAATGTACAAGTGACTGCCCTTTGTTAGGGAGAGAAATTTACATGAAATTCGGAGAATAAGCGTTCTTCTGGGTAAATGAAGATCCACAAGGAGCGAGGAGTGAGGAGGGCAAAACAGAGTGATTCGGGAACAGGACGTTCGGGGGACATCGTACAACGCCAGCGTCCCGAATTGCCTCCAGTTAAGCCTATAAACATAAGCACACGACGGGCTCCTCCATAAACTGAAAAGGTCTGGGCGTAGTGATGGAAGTTTTACAACAAGCGCTGGACACTGAGAAGGCGGTCAAGGGATGGACCTGTCATGAACTGCTCGATGAAATCGCGCATGTCATTACGTGTAATCAACTAGTTTTTCACACATCTGAACCCTAGAAGGTAGCAGCTGGAAAAAAGTTGCCGGCGAAAAATGATAAAAAAAAATCTAGCTGGAGTACTTCTGCTTATTTTCTTGTCCCGCTAAATTCCATCTTCTGCCCAAGCTTTCCGCTGCACGAAGCGCCATCCAGTGAGATAGAGCGATCAATTTGGGACATGACGACGACATTCTTTCCTTTTCCTAGTTTTTCATCCGAAAATGCATCTCGCGCGAGGTGCATTACGAGCAGGGAACATCATCGGGACATGGGAACTGACAGTGGCACCCCTATTTCCTGATCGGGAGCATCCACCTATCACAGACTACCTTTTCCCAGTGCTCTCAACTCCCTACCGATTCCCCAATAATTTTCACCAGTTTCCTCTAATCATAAGAACTGCCGTCGAGCGGGAGAGGCCTTCGATCATTAGCCAGGAGGACTAAGCTCCACAGTAGTCGTTCCGCGCCTCTAAGTAGGGATATATAACACGCATGAACCGGGAATCAAAACGCGAAGAAATGTCTCCTGTGGCACAGAAAATTTTTGCTAGAGACCAAATACCCCTCCTCCGAAGACCAAATGCGATTCCCTTATGGGTTTCGCAGAATTATGACTGATTACGACCAGTGGTTATGAATTAGGGATGTCAGAACGTTTCTCCTTCCGAAGCAGGGTGTGCGACCGCCTATGCATAACAGCTTTTTAAAACCCCTAATTCATTGAATTCTTCCACATTCTAGCCTCAAAACAGCACAGAAAGTCCAATGAATTAAGCATCTATAGCAGTGAAAGGAACTGTGGACGTTTGCTGGAAAACGAGCACACTGTTACTGCTAAGGATGGAATGTGACCCAGAGAAGTACCTTTAGGCAAGCCTCTATGAACGCATGCGCGGCTGGGATGCTTCAAAGGAGAGAAAAGGAAAAACCCACGGTTGGCGGAGGAACCAACGGAATTTCCCGAATTGCGAAAAATAGGTCTCTAAGAAGTGAGTTTGAGGTCGAGTGGGCCACGCGAGAGGTACATAAAATGCAGCGCACATTACTGCGGACAGCGGGACGATTAATGATCGCAATGATCTTTTCGGAACTTCTCGGCCGCAGTGATTATAGATCCATATCGCCGTTAAGCCATTATTTTCTATGGGGGAATAACGACTCCGAGAATTTTTCCACGACTCCAAAAATCACTGCATATAGCCCAGCCCGATCCCTTTGTTTGTCTGCGATGTATTAGGTTGGCCCGCAAGTAATAGTCTTTTTATCTTACACAAATCATTTTATATGCATAGTGCGGATTGTTCCCCATGGCTCCAGTGCTCTCTGATGGATAAGTTCCTGCTCTACAAGGTAGTATGGTTGCTCTCCTTTTGGTTCTTGATTTATTTTTGTCGAATTCGATTTCGTTGGAGTGTTGATTCGAGACAAATAAGAGATTATGACACCAACTTTTTGCCTTTAATCTAGGCTCCTTACTTGCAAAATCAGCTCAAAACTTATGATGTGCGTGACCAAGGAACGCTGTTTTCTAGGAAAGCTTGAAGCTGAATTCAAACCACTGAGAGGTGACAGATTGGACCTTGTCAATGTGCACTGCACGAGGCGCTCTTGGGGATCGACTGGCTGAAGAGCCCAACCATCAAGCTTAGCCTCTCCCATTCAGTGAAGATGATGCTCAATGAAAAGGTGGAAGTCTCCCATGACATTTCCAAGTTATTATTTTTATTAAATAAATAAATATAAATCCACCTATCCCACATTCTTTGATATGGACCTCCTTGAAAAGGCTGATCCGGAAAGCTTCCAGTCGAACTCAATAAGGCATCGGGAGCTACATATGCTCGTTTGTGGGTCGAAATAAAAATCTTCGTGTCGTCTGGACCTTCCCAAGGGACATCGCCTCTTGGTCATATACTTATCAAATGGCCCTCACTTCTTCGGCTTTTTATCCAGTTATAAGGGCGTCGAAAATGCTGAACGTCGCCGACTCGACACTCAGTTTTAGGCAAGCAAATTTTAGGCAAGCAAAGTCTTCAGAAACATTCAGCAGACCTTTCATAGTGAAGAGACAATGTAATATCAGATGGGTTAGGTCTCTATCAGGCAATGTAAAGCTCGGTTGTTAAGTTTCAGACCTCTACGCTCAATTTCTGAAATACACCATTACTTATGGGTCATCCAGCAGAATGTGAAACGAAAAACTTAAGGCATTCGTCACAATGAAGGATTTCCTACTCATCAATAAAGTTCAAGATCCAGAAATTTGCTTCGCCGATAGGATAATAAATCAAAGAAATAGGAAGATGTGGATCTGTTAGGATAGAGCTAGAGCGAAAGATGAACGAAGGTAAGAAAACGCGATGGGTGACGGGGGTTGGACCGGTCATGGTCGATCGCCAGAACCCTCGCTGAGGCAGCTCGTGCGCTGTGGAGACGCAGAACAAAGTTCGCCGGCTGAATACGTGCGAGTTAGCAGTCGATGCAACGACTGACCTCCCCGCGCACGTGCCCACTGCGCCTTAGAAACTTGTCGGCCATACACCCCGGTGCAGATAATACAAATGTTATTT